CATCTCTTAACTGTACACGGTGTGTAACTGATTCACTTCTGCTGCTTTTGAAATAGAAACATTATAGATTACCAAAAAAATATAAATTTCTTGCAGACTGGATTCATAGCTCACCTTCTTTTATCTGGGAAATATTAGGAGCCAGGTTTTACTATGCTAAGAGCAAAATGTTTAAAAATAAGCTAATGCTAATGATTCAAAACAAATCATGAAGCTACTCCATCCTATTCATTTCATAATAAGAAAAGACAGACGAAGCAGGAAAACATGGAGTAATAAAAATATCAGTTGCCAGTTTTACTCACTCCATGAATGACAGTGATTACAGAATAACAACTTACTTGGAAATACCTTAAATTCAAAAGAAGGACCATTTATGGGCTTTAGTTAGAACCAACCGAATTTCTCACCACACATACAGTAACATTAAATAGGTAACTGCAAGAACATTCATTCCCTTACAAACTTACTGGAGTTACACAATTGCTCATTACACAAACTTGGGTCAGCATCTGACTCACAATTCTTCCTCTTAGGGGTGTTCTATAGCTGAGCCAACAAATATGCTAATTGTAGAATGTTCTGTTCCAAGTGCCTTCTGTTATTCTGCTGCATCTCTTTTAATCCACCATGAAGCAAACAGAACCTAAAATTTGTCATAGGGGCCACACATCTAGGGAAGCCTTGGTTGGAAGATGCGATCATCTTCACCATTTCAGAATGACAGAAAATCACAACTATACTCATCTTACCATTTCTTGCCATTCCATTTTTAGACCATTCCCTGCACCTAGCATCTTTTTGAATTGAAATTTCATTTCTACTGTATTGTAAATTAACCACCACTTCAATTTATTCTTGCTTAAAAACAATAGGATTATTTTGGATTAATCTATAGAAACTCTGAAATAGTATGTCAAGCTATCTGTTAAATGGGTTTCAGTTGTATTATTTCTTATGAAGATAGAACAATAAAAGGAGTTCCATTCAAAAGTTCATTTCTTCCAGGTGACTTTGGTGCTTCTATTTATATGCTGATCAAGTTTACAAGTAGTCCAGCTAGCTTCCTTGTCTAGCTAGTTACCCTTTGAATGCTTTTGGAAAGTGGGTAAAATAGTTGTCTTCCGTGCCCAGGCAATGCCATTGGCTTACAAGGATAAATTTTTTAAAAAAAAATTTTTAGCTATATTTTACCAAATGTCAGCTTGGTGTAAACTTTTAGTCCATCTACTATGATTTAACAATAACGTTAGCTAGAATCATGTTGAAATAATATACCCAAAGCCATTGACTTTCCAAAGTTATGCTACTGTCATGTGCTATCCAGACAGTTTAGAGTTAATGGGATTTGGGATAGTTAGTTAGGAATTGTGAGCTGTCCCCTTAAGGGAATGCATCATGGTAAATGTAGTTAAGGCATCCTGGGAAATGTAGTCCATGCCATGGGGTCACATCTGTAATCCGGATTGGTCACTAAATTGACCCTTGTTGGGTCAGCTTCTTTCTATCAGCTTCTTTCTATCAGCTCCGATAGATTGTGATAGCACATTGGATAACAGTGAAAATAGCCCCACACTAAAAGCTGCACTACACTAGCTCCAATTGCAGCCAATAGTGAGACATATTTTATTATTTATCAAAATGCTCAGGTTTTGTTCCTTCTAGGGGAAGATGTCATGTGAGTGTATAAGAGTACAGGACTGGCTGCTTCATTATAGGAGAAGTCTATGTGGACAGAATCTGCAGGCCTGACAACATGCTTGTCCACAAAACAAGGATGCTTAGAGAACGGCTGGGTTGCCTACTTCCAGGCCACAACTACATGCTACGAAAGAAGATATTTCTCTGTGATCAGAGAAATCTGGTCTTAATATCAGACCATAGACCATTCCTTAAGCTCCACAAAGCCATTCAACAAGAATTCAGAACTCAGGCTCTTGCAAGTAGTAATCAAACACATCCACTGAGCAAAATATTCTCACCATCTTCTGGACAATACTAGAGAATGTTTTCTGTAGCACAAATGCAGCAAACCACTCTGCCAAAGGAAAGAGCCTAGGCAAAGTAGGTGATCTTTCAAATATGCCATTTGATACCCACACCCCACCCACACATCCTCCATATCCCCCACACACATGATATTTATTATAATATGAAAGAGCTTGAAAATGAAATAGAACAATCAGGTAGGGTGAAAGACAAATATTTCAACCGAAATGCTGACTACATCGATCCAGTCAATTTCTGGACTTCTGGATCATATTTTACTCTTATGATATGCTGTTAAAAAGGGAAATAAATTGGAATAAACAGGTATGTATGTATTTTATCTTCTAAGGTACTGTAAAAACCTGATAGAGAATAATTAATATTAAAAAAAGTAAAAGCAAACTCTGGGCAAAATCTCTTTTTTCTAAATATTGCAATGAAGAAATTAATACACATAGATCTTGACTTGATGAGATAATCTTATTCCTACCTTACTGTATTTCTCTCCTCTTTGCTTGCCCTTTCTATCTTTCATGGTCATTAAAGTGCAAATTGTAAACCGCTCAGCAATTCTATGTTTAAAATGACATTTATCTCTAAAGATCTACTTTCTGATTTTACAATTTGGTTCAGATACATTAACACCTAAAAGTCCTGAATTACCATCAACAGTGAAATGTTTTTATTATTGTAGATCTATAGTATTTTATTGAATAATATTAAGATTCATGATAGTTCCTTCAAATAATTTTATATTCTATGCTGGAAGGATAATGAGATTGAGGAGACAGTAAAGTGTATGATGTATATTTTCCATCATTGTTCTGTTTAATTTACCATCTACTTTAAGATTGTTTTATAATGCTGGTTAAAGGATTATAATTTAAATATATCTTATTCTAAATCATACACCAACATTTTGGAATTGATCAATACGGTATATAAAGAGTAATGAATTCATTGGACATGGAGCATAGCAAAAATTATTCTTACAATGGAAAAATCTATTCTGGATTTACAGTCTTATATTGATGACATGTATTCTCAGTCTGCTTATGAATTGGTTCTTTAATGATGCAATAGAAAGACTGATCAATAAATTTTCACATGGTCATGTAATATTGTATTTAAAAATTAAAATAGAATATGTTTAATTTTCTTAGTATCTTTAAAAAATGTATTGGAACTTTTTTTAATACTAAAGCAATATTATTTTTTCTAAAAGAATGCCATATACTTTGGTAATTATGAATAAAAAGACCAGCCTTCCCCAACTTGGTATTTTAAAAGTCAGTACAGTTTGTAGACCTTCCTGGGCAACAGATGTTCAGGGCATGAGACTGGGGACAATTTTGTTAAGATAATGCTTTCCATTTCTATTCTAAATTGGTCCAAGCTTCTCAAAGTTATTTCTATAGAGAAAAGAAAATGGTGCTAATTTGTCCTCTAGAATTAGTCACTAAGGGAGCAATTACAGATTCAGTTAATGTCAAAAATATAGTATACCTTCAGAATCAGCAGTGTACAATTTATACAGAGCATTTTCATTTCTAGTATTCATATTCACCATATTGCCCTTGCATATTTTTCCCTTTGGCTTTCATCGCTTGGCAGAATAAATAAGGAACTATAGCCTGGTTATATAGCTTCTAATGAATCCGTGGTAATACAGAGAAAATAATAGGCTTGCTGAAACTATTTCATTTTTAAATATCTGTCATGGTATTCTGTATACTATATTTTCTTATAACTAGAAGATTTTTGGTTATAATCCATGATACCTCTATTTATTGGAAAACCTTAGACTAAATCTTCAATATCTAAAGTATAATGCCCTGCTTTAAGACACCCTGTGATCTAATTAAAAAGTTAAATATCAAATGAAAAGTTCCTAGCTAATTTAGTGTGGCCTAGAATTACCTGAATTTTGTAATAAACATTAACTATTGCATTTACTGAAAGGGCACAATGGCACAAGGCGATGGCTCAGAACACTCAACCTGTGTTCAAGACCAGACTACTGTACAATAGGGTGAGATCCCATTCCTGCCTCAGCTCCTGCCCACCTAGCTCTTCGAAAGCATGCAAATGTGAATAGACAAATAGGTACCACTTCATGGGAAGGTAACAGTGTTTTGTGTGCCTTTGGCATATAGTTATGCTGGGCCACATCACCACAAAAAATGTCCTTAGACAACACTGCCTCCCTCGGTCAAGAAACAGAGATAAGCATCACTGCCTTGAGTTGGAGATGACTGGACAGGGAAACCTTTACCTTTATTGTGTTTACTAGCTAGTTGTTAAGGTCAATGAGGTTGATTGTGCTGACTGCATTTTTTCTTTTTCATATTCACTGATATACCAAGAGCAGAATACATTGATTTCTCACACAATTTTTTGATGATTATTACAATGAAGACAATTACATTGTTGTTATTAGTTTGATGATGGATTGTAAGAAATTGTGAGAAAAAAAACCCCTAAATATAACATTTATAAATACAAATTGTTCTATATTTGATAAACTATTTCCACAGATCTGAAAAGAAAGTAGCAGAACTCTCTCTATAAATAGATTGACTCTTAGTTTTCAATCTGGGTATCTATCTCGTGAATTTTTGGCACTGTAATCACAGAGCAGTATCACAACATATTTACTGAACAGAATATAGGAACTTATTGTGACAGCTAGGTTGCTTCAAACATTTGCAGAGCCGACTGTTCTGCTAACAGTCTATCAGGAAAAAGTTCCACATGCAAGGGGCATCCCAAGCCAAATGGGAGGGAGACACATAGCTGAGTATTCATGCTCTAAGATGACTTAAGCTGGCATTGGAAGAAGGAACGTGATGAGGAAAAACAAGTCATATAAATGTTGAAAATTATAAACAATCCATCATGCATCAAGCTTCAACAAGAAACTCTTCCAGTTGAAGGAGAAGCAGCTATGCTTGTTAAAAAAAATCAGAAGCAAGCACTATAACCCTAGAGAGCTAACCTAAGAAACTTACGTGAAGGCAAATGCCACCAGTGCTCCACTGACCACAATGAAATCCAAGATATTCCACAGATCCCGAAAATAAGAGCCCCGATGAAGGATCAGTCCTAAGTCAATCATCTGCAAAAGCCAGACAAAATAAAGAAATGCAGGTTTCCAAATCAGTACATATGGGTTTGGTTAACTTCTGCCCTGAAATTTTCACTCTGAACATTAATCTAATAGGACCCACTTTGCAAAAGAAGAGGTGAAGGGCCTAAAAATGAACTTTCTTGCAAGAAAATAAAAATACTAAAGATAAATTACAACATGCCTGCATAAGGAAAATAATAGCAACATCTAGCTCAGAGATCAAGTTTGACTTAAAGGATTTTGGAATACATGAATTGATATACTTGAGAACTGGTATGCTAGAATAGAAGAATTTAATTACTATTGTTGTTTTCCTGGATACTTAATGTTCACAGTCATAATATTCTCTCCCATGTATTTTATGATGTTGGTGCTTCAAAATGGCATTGGAAGAGAAATGAATCTGTCTAAGATTTATGATTACTTCTCTTAAACTCTGTCACATAGGAGCTATTATCCCACATTACAATCAGAATCAATATCATGCTATGAAAATATTCTTCAAGAACTGTGCTCATTTCTGTGCTGCTAAATGTACCACTATAATCATCTGGAAAATAGCCTTTAAATTCAGAGCTATTTCAAAGACTGTTGTAAAAAAAATACTGGTACAGTATTTCATGATATATTGACTCTCCCCTTCTTATTATGCTGGAAATGTTCTGTCACATGATAATAATTTAGCATGCACTTGAAAAAAAAATCAAGAAAGTGAAACCTACAATCCACAAAGCAAACAGTGAAGTAAAAATGTTACTAGCACCCAACACCAACATATTTTAACTTTACTAACCTTAACAACCATTTCAAAGGTGAAGACACCTGTGAAGACATAATCAAAGTAACGAAGAACCTATAGGAAGGAGATAAAATAATAAAAATATACAGTTCAAGACTTGCTAACTCCTTTGAAATAAATGAGCCTAACTGATCTTAAAATCAATCCAGCAAGAAGTGAGCAAATCTTGAGGAGGCATTCAAAAGTTTCAGGCAGTAAAGGAAAGACACACATAATCAGAACCCCTGAAACAACAAAATCAGTTTAGCTATACTTTGGTCAGGAAGAATTCGTTCCCTTGTACAACATGAACTAATCTCTGCAGTCATGGTGGAAAATATGAAGATGGTGAATGGGGGAAAACGGTTTTAAAATAAGAACTTCCCAACATTGCTTCTAGCTCCAAATACAGGTAAACAGCACATTCACACCATTGAGGAGGGGCACTTAGCAGCTATCCTCAGCTTTCCGTTCTTGAGTTTGTTAGTGTATCCTCCAGCTGGAGGGAATACTAATTTTTTTTAAAAAAGATGATTGTATTTGAAGAGCAGCAAAGCCTCTCCTCAGTATCAGTGCAGAGGAATTAGGTGTGAGTGTGGCAAAGGGTAACAGTGCCAGACTATCTGGCAGAAGGGGAGAAACTGCATGGGGTGAAAACTAGTCTTCTCTCACAGCTCCAGAGGACACTGCAAATTGTTTTTCACTGCATTCTCCTAGGAGTAACTGATAGTTGTTAGTCTCATGTGAACTAAGGGACCATCTTTAAAGAAAAAAAGAATAATTCTCTATTGATTAAAATAAAGAAACAAACTAGGAAACAATAATAAAAACTAAGAAAAGAACCTTTCCTTATAAATATTTGATACCCACGTTGTAAGAAACAACATTGTTTTTCCTGAAAGAAACCAGACAAATGAACTGAATATGTGAATATGAATTTTGATGATGCTGCAACGTTGTAAAAAGTGTTTATGTGTTATAAACTGTTGGAAAATGTTCAATACAAATATTGCAAAAAAAATAAAATAAATGTCCCTTGTGTCACTGAAGAGCAGCATGTATGTATGTGTGTATATATGTGTGTGGATGCGCATGCACGCGCACATATGCATATATATATGTTGTGGCCCCGATTCCCGAGCCTATGCTGTCAGAGGAAGAGGACCTGGAAGATGAGGAGGAGGAACTGGAAATGCCTTCCTCCCAGGACCTTCCTCTCTGGCAATGCCTTCCTCCCCAGGACCTTCCTCCCTGATAATACCTCAGGTTCCATCAGACAACCGAGAGGAACAGCCTGAGATTAATCAGGAGGAAGGCATATCGGAGCAGCCCCTGACAGGGAGTAAAGAGGAAGAGTGTTGGCTCGATCCTAAGCAGTGTTGTAGGGAGAAACGTGAGCAGCAATGTAGGAGGCGTGAGAGGGTCAGAGAGTGAGCTGAGTCATTGAGCCACACCCACAGGGGATAAAAGTGGGTGTGTTTTCTCCTGAAACTTTGTACGGGACAAAGTTTAACCTTACTTCAGATTTTCTTTGTGAATGACTATTTTTGTGGACTGCCTTGTGATTTTCTGTAAGTAAAACTTTATCAGTTCGGAATTGGCAGGCAAGACATGTGGGAATGCCAAAAATATTATCAGTTCCAAAGAATTAACTCTGCGAAGTCCAAGCCAGCTTGCCTGCCTTTGTTGGTGTGAGTTTGTACTCTTTCATATTTTGGGAAAGAGGAAAGGCGAGACAGAACATTGTGTGTGTGTGTGTGTGTGTGTGTGTGTGTGTGTGTGTGTGTGTGTGTGTATGTGTATATATATATATGGTATTCAGCTTTGTTCGGGTATTTTCCCACATCATTATAGTTGAGCTTTTAAAGTTGTAGCAACGTTTCAGCAGAATCTCATCTGCCATCATCAGGCTTCTGTATAGTGTTCGTCTGTGAGTCAGACTTTCACAGCCGTTTCTGTTTTAAATTTGGGGCTAGCCTACTGCTGTGCCAGAATGGTTTTTGCTTCATCCTGATTGGTTGGGAGTCTTGGTCTGTGTTTATTGGTCTTGGAGTTTGCTGTGTTCTGCTTGATTGGTGTTTCTAATATCTTCTGTCTGTTTTGTAGCTTTTTTTTGGTCTTGATTGGCTGCCAACATTGTGTTTCCTGTATTGGAGGCTTTTAGTGAAGCTTGGCTCCGAGTAAACAGATGGATATCATTTATTAGGAAGCTAGGTTTCATCTGAGTGCCTGGTTGGGGTGTGTTTGAGCTGGAGGTATCGGGGGGGGGGTCTGTTTGTGCCCAGGTGTTTGCCTGGCTTGTGGTGTGGAGATTTTTTTGTTTGTGAGTGCAGGCTTCCAGATAATTGACAGTCTGGTGGAGTCATCTCTTCTATTCATGCTTTCAGGTCTTTTTCCATTCTCTATGGCTTCTCTGATAATTCTGTAGCTGGGGTTTTCTATAGTGGCTAGGGTTTTGGTGCCATTGAAGTCAATGCTATGACCTGTGGCTTTCATGTGTTGGACTAGTAAGGAAGTGTGTGTACTGCATTTTTGTGTTCATCCAGGTGGGTACTTATTCTTCTATTGGTCTGTCCAATTTCGTGGCAGGGCATGATGCACAGGGGACTTCATATATGCCTTGGTTTTCCAGGTCAATTTTAACTTTGGCGTTTCTTAGGATGGCTGCTATTTTTCTGTCTGTTTTGAAGGCAGTCTTGATGTGATGCCTGTGTAGTATCTTACTGATTTTGTCTGTAGTACCTCTTATGTAGGGCAGGACAGCTGTTCCATAGGTCTGTTCATCTTCTAGGTCTCCATTATGTCTCAGTGTGTTTTTGTGGATCAGGCGTTTGCTTTTGTGGAAGCTGTTGGCTGTCAGTACTTTAGTCAGGGTGCATAGTTCAGTCTTTATGTGTGTCTTGTCTGCCAGGCGTTTGGTTCTGGCAATTAGTGTTTTGGCCACAGAGTTTATCTGTGCTGGGTGGTGGTGGGATTGGGCATTGAGATAGCAGTTGGTGTGTGTTTTCTTCTGGTATATGGTGTGTCCTAGTGTGCCATCTGTTTTTTTGTAGATTAGTACATCTAGGAATGGCAGTTGTTTGTTTGTTTCCGTTTCCATGGGGAATTTGATTTTGGGGTGTGTGCTGTTTAGGTGTGTTAGGAAATTGTTTAGGTTTTCTTTTCCATGGGGCCAAATAACAAATCTGTCATCAATGTATCTTAACCATAGTTTGGGTTTGTGGGTGGCATTGGCTAGGGCTCTGGATTCGAATTCTTCAATGAACAGGTTTCCAATGACGGGTGACAGTGGTGATCCCATAGGGGCTCCTTCAATTTGCTTGTATCTTTGTCCTTTGTATATGAAATATGTGTTGGTTAAGCAGTGTTCTGCTAGTTCCATGAGGTGTTTAGCTGATTGGTATTTATTTTTGATGATTTGTAGGGTTTCTTTTATCGGGACTTGAGTGAATAGTGAAACCACATCGAAACTTACAAGCAGACCTTCTTGTTCCACGTGTAGATCTTTGATCATTTCCAAGTGGTGGGTGGTATGAGTTTTGTACATGTGAAGCTGCTGCTTCAGCATGGGGCTATAGCTGCTTTGCTTGGTATTTGGCTAGGTTTTGTAGTGGTGCTCCTCTGGAACTGACTATGGCTCTGAGAGGGTCTATGGGTCTTCTTTGTGTATTTTTGGGAGGCTGTATAGTTTGGGGCATCTGGAAGATTTTTCTCTTGGGATGATCGTCTGTTGGATCTCTTTGCTCATGTGGCTGGTTATAATTTTCTTCTTGGTTATTTTTTCCAGATATGTGGTTGGGTCCATGTTTATGGGTTTGTATGTGGAGTCTTGGAGTAGGTCTGTCAATTTTGTTTCGTAGTCTTTTCTATCCATTACTACTGTGGCATTACCTTTATCTGCTGGAAGTATGATTATGCTGCTGTTGTTCCTTAGGGCTTGCAGGGCTTTTAGTTCCTCTTTGTGCAAGTTGCTTTTGGGTGGTTTGCTTGTGCATAGGATGTTAGTGACTTGGTGTCTTATTCTATCAGCTTCATCTGTATTTAATTTAGTTAGGCTGGATTCCACTCTACATATGATGGATTCTGTGGGGATTTTTTTGCATGCTATAGCATAATTGAATCCTTTGGTTAGGACATCTGTTTTTGTTTTGGTGAGTTCTCTGTTGGAAACGTATACTAATTGTTTCAGGTGTTGTTGTGAGTTGTTGGGGGCTTTCTTGCTAATCCTATCATACATACTAAAAAAGGATAAGCAGCACATTATTGATGTACATCTTCAAAGCCTGCGCTTTTCCTTATGAAAGTATTACATTTTAGCTGTTTTTCCTTACATTAGTGCTAAATTTTACACTGTATGTTGATTTAATATTTCTGGAGCCATGGTGGCACTGTAGTTAGAATGCAGTATTGCAGACTAACTCTTCCCACAGGCAAGACATCCACACTGACTGGTTCAAGGCTGACTAAGCCTTCCATCCTTTCGAGATCGATAAAATGAGGACCCAGACTGTTGGTGGGCAATATGCTGACATTGTAAACTGCTCAGAGAGTGCTGTAAAGTACTATAAAGCGATATATAAATCTAAGTGCTATTGCTGTAGCTATCTCTTCAATTATAGCAGAGAATTATCATTTCTAAATAGGACACTATATCTATTGCTATCCCTTGATCTTTGAAGTTCCTAGGGAAAAGTTAAATCTGAGGGGGAAACAGCAAGATGTACATATGAAACTGATTTTAAATACATCAACATTTATTGAGAAGGTCTGCAAAACAACAGCATAAAGCATATCAAATAAAATAAGGGCATGGTAATCTTTAGGCTGCGGTTAAAACAAACACAAACAGGCTGCTCCCACAACAAACAGCACCTGTACTTTTGGAAAACTGAATCTGCTGTTTAGTGTAACTAAAATCTCTTGCAGTCATTTTTAAATTCACTCTGAGTCTTTTTTTTTTTTTAAACAAATTTTATTCAGTTTTTCAGTTTGAAAACAAAAATCTCTTTTTAGTGGACAACCTATTTCCGGGTCATCACCTTTACATACAAATATGACAGCAATTATACATTCATATATGCATACTTAATTCTATTTTGAATGTGGCACCTTAATAATTAGAATGTACCTTTATTCCCATTTCTTACTGCTGCTCCTCCCCCTCTTTTCCCCATATCTTTTCTCATTCCAGTTTATATCCCTCTCTTTCTTCCTTTCCCCTTTTAGCAAATTTTAGACAACATATTTCCAAGTCATCACCTTTACATAGAAATGGCAGCAATTATACATTCATATATGGATACTTAATTCTATTATTACCTTTTCCATTCCAAATTTTCAATAAGGAGAGAAACAAACACATTAATTCTAGCCTCTTTCATTAATCTCAACCGAAGCATCTTTTTGTTTAATTTCAATTATTTCAAATACAATCCCTTAATATTTATTTTAAAAATAAAAATAAACAATATGTATTTGCCTAATAATAGTAATAATAAAGTTACCAATGTCTCTCCTTGCTTTTAATAGTCTATATTAACTTATTAATTTAGCTGGCTCTTTAGTCTGTCATATTCCCTTTCCATTACACATTTTTTTATGGATTCTAAATTAATAACACACACACACACACACACACACACACACACACACACACAAAACAAGTATAAGTTTCCCCCTTTTTACTATTTTGAGTGTAACACCTTAATGATTAGAATATACCTTTATTCCCTCATCTTAATTCCCAGTGAATCATTAATCATTACATCTTTTCAATTGGATTCCGCAGCATATTTTTCCCTTTATTTTTAATAAGTTATCAGTATCTATATTACCCTATTTTCTAAATATTTTTAGTTGCAGAAATATTCTTATTACCCCTTGTCACCCTGCAGAATCCTCTTTTTAATTCATCAATCATTATCTCTGAAAAAACAATTTCTTTTCAACATTTTACTATTTCTATATTTCTTTCTTTCATATGCCTGTTTCTTACTGCTCCCCCCACTTTTCCCCATATCTTTTCTCATTCCAGTTTATATCCCTCTCTTTCTTAATATCTTCCTTTCCCCTTTTCTGCTGGGTCTTTCTGCCTTTCCTGACTTCACAAGTATTCCCTCTTTTAATTGCCTTCTTAAATCTCAACTTTTTAACCTTCCTTCTTTCCCCACTTCTTTGTAGCGTTCTTTGTTTTAATTGTCTATTTAAAATGTCTTCTCCTTGAATCGACTCCTCCTCCTCTGAAGCTCTTTCTTCTTGTTCTTCAATTGCCATTTCCATTTTTTCTAGGATAGAGCAAAGTGATTCGCCTCTTTCCTGTAGTAATTCTCTCATATTTTTAAGTTCCATTTTTAATTCCCGAAGAGATATCATCATTACACGCTCCTGTATTTTATAATTGTTAAAGTCCACAAAAAAAACCCACTTTTACTTTCCTTCTTTCTTCTTTCAGTTTTCTAAGGTTCTCAGTTATTCCAGTCCAGAGTTTATACCAAAAACATCAGGCAGTCCCACAAACAGTCTTTCCTTGCTTTTTCCTTTTTTCTGGTTCTGCTTTCACTTTCTAGAATTCTTACTTTGTTTCAATATTTCTGTAATGTTATATCCACACAAGTTCATTCAAAAACAGGATGCTTTCCCTTTTATTTGAGCCAAATTTTTGTCAAAAGGTGACACTCTCCATTATACAAAGTCTTCACCTTTTCCCCCTATTTTTTTATTTAAGGTTTTTCAAACCTCAATATTCCAGCACAGTCCAGTCTCCAATTTGTAAACTTTGTTATTATTATTCTTTGACAATCTTAAGTCCAGCTTTATTTTATGCCTGTTTATTCCCAAAATATTTTAGTCCAATTTTGTTAAATCTTTCATTCCAGCTTCTTTCTTTCCCGGTTCAAAGCCCCACTTAGCTGTAAAAAATATTTTCTTTTTTTTTCTCTGTCCCTTTATAATTTCGCCGCTCACTTTTCTTTTCTAAAAAGTTCTATGTTACCTTAATCCTGGGGGTTTAGTTATATTGCCCAGTTGTCCCGGTTCAGATGTTATCCACCTCTTTCTTCCCTCCTGCACAAAGCTTAATCCAGCTGAGTTGTCCTCTTCGGGGTGGCTATTTTAGACCACTGCTGCAGTCATCTTCGGGGGAAAAAAAAACCAAGCCCAAGGGGGGAGATGTGGCTCCCCTCAATCTGACTTGCTGCTTCCTCTTACTCCGCTGCCCCTCCAAGGCAGTTTCAGCCCCTAATCATAAAAATTGGGGCTCTCTGACGAAAGAGCACGGACGATAGCCACAGAGAGTTGCGATCTACCATCCGTCAGCGAGGAGGTTCCGCCTTCTTCCAAATTAACTCTGAGTCTTGAACTGAGCCCTGATACTATTTCTTAAGATTACAAGAATGTTTATGCAACACTGATAATTTATTACATACCCCCACACCTGCAAAGAGTGAAAGGAGAGACTTGAAAAAGAGAGACAACTAGAGAGGCAGGAATATTTCTTTTCCCCTATGGAAGGGAGCAGCAAGTATCAGCAGCAAACAGACATTGAATCACATAGGTAGGAAAAGATCTGCAAGGGTTTAAAAATCTCACTGGAACCAGTTCCAAAGGAGATGCATCAGGCTGAGCTACAGATAAGCAAACAGCTCAGCCAATCAAAATACAAACATCCAAAATTGGCACTGAATGTAAGATTATAATCCTTATTCTCCAATATTATTAAAAACATTCTTTTAAAATTAAATTCTTTTATGTTATTAAAATATCAACAATACAAATTTGTTTAACCAAAGGCTAAGTGCCATATTATACTGAGTACATAGAGAGTATGCTAGACTATTATTTAATTCCAAGTTTAAGGACTATTAAGCAAGAAAGTTTGGACATACAGTTATCCATTTGGTAGCAGTGGCAAAAAGGGCTAGGTTAGTTGCTTTGTTTACTTGTCCTCTCTGTCAAAATTGCAGCCACTTTTCTGCTTTGGATGTGCAATTACACTATACCATTGCCCTTTTCTGTCACCCAGAACCTTCTAATCTAGAGAGGGCTTCACTTTCCTGAGAGATGAATAATCTCCAATGTGTAATAATGTCACTGCTGCTTAGACTCCATCTGGTTCCTTTGTTTTCAGTTGGTGGATGTTTGACTTGCTTTTTCCACATGCCAACATAAAGATTTCTTATTGCTGCCTAATGCAGAAAGTCTGCTTCCTACCCATCCCTCTACTGAGATGTGCTAATTATTTCATTACTGTTTCCTTAGGGATATCTCACAAGACCTGTTCAGAAGTTCTTGAAAAAGAAAGTGCAGTGTAAGACGCTCAGAAGCCAGCCTCTGATTTATTGCTTTCTCTCCCTTTCCATCCATTGTCTCCTCTTTAGTCTATTTAAATAGAAGCATAACTTTTGAGTAAGAGAAATAAGAAAAGAATTCAAGCTTTTACAGAATACATTCTAACAAATATAGAATTAAACAATTTCAGCCTAATTTGTATTCAAGGAATATTCTCAAGAATCTAGGATATACATTGGGCATTTAAATATATTCCTGTATGAAGAAAGTCTTAATAAATATATGAGAAAAAAATCAAAAGGACCCACTGTAAAAATGAAACATCGTTTAATTCAAAAGGACTTGAGAAAATTGTATTTTAATACTGATATAAACTACACTGGCAAGTTATTCTATCAATTTTATTTTACTAGAAATCTGCACAGATATAGATAGAAAAGAATATGTGATATGATTTTCATTTGTAGCTGTAATTAACTCATTTCAACCCTACCTCTGAGTGATCAAGAATTACCTTGCACAACGAAGTTATTACAAAGCGAAAATAATAATCTTGGATCCGTGATCTATGTAGAAGATATCCGAATCCAAGTCAATTGGTCAAAGGCATTTGAGCTTAATAAGCTCCTACGTGATCATGATTCTTATCTACAAGGAGCAATTGCTTGGTTGCAAATTATGTGATCAACATGACTTCACATATGAAGTATTGCTATGTTATGCTGAAATGAAGTTGATTCCCCACTCCCCAAAGGAATAAAGAAACTAAAAAATTAAAAGTCATCTTTATCTCACCACAACATCTTGTTTGCTTCTTTGGTAAAACTCCTATGCAAAGTGTCTTACTGGGATACTGTCCAATTTCACTCTGGGTCAGTATCAGCAAACACAAATTTGAAATAAACTGCTGATGGTCCATCAGTATTGAGGAAAGTCTAAACAAATATCTTTAATTGTTTATGCAGATTTAGCTTGGGTGGAGACTGCACCTTGCTGAAAATATTTAACAATATACTTTGCCCCGTCTCATTTCCTGCACATTTTAGGATTACTAATATTGTATTAATTTTAGTATAGCATGATTCATTTTCATGGCTCGGAAATAGGAGAACAGGAGCTGCAATTTATGTATGCTGCACCAATAGAGACAAAGGAGGACTTACATTGTTACGAGGAGCACTCGGCTGTACGGGATCTTCAGCAGCCAATGCAATGCTGCTCATGGCAATCACCATCAGAATGCAGATCTCAAAGTAGCGCAGATTGACAATGTAATGACAGAGGCGCCGAAAACTAGCACAAATAGGCAAAGATGCATTAGGGAGCATCATGTGTGAAGCAGACGTGTAGCTTTCTCTCACTGATAAAAAGACTGGGGCCATCAACACCACACATTAAATTTGGAAAGCAATCAGGGTAGTATATAGATGTGTGTTAGTTACTATCTCATAAACTAAAGCACTGGATGTTTTTGAAACCGATTTTAGATTACTCACATAAATTGAGTCTCATTCTCAATCCAAGCTAACTAGCCTGAACCCAACTCACATTTTGACAATCTAATCTATATCAGAATTATTTTTAAAAAATTAAATCACACACATAGCCTGTTGAATCAAGTATTTCACATAGACAATTTTAATCAAATGGTGTCGGGGTTAAACTACCCCCTTCTCTGAGATTCTTCAGTTCTGAAGTAACTTGCCTGTTGGTGGACCATAACGACAGTGACAATACATTACTTATTATAAAAGACAATACTTTATTTCAGAAACTTGTCTTTCGGATTTATTTCATTTTTCATTTCCTTGCTTTTGCTCTTGACTTTTCTTTTGTAAAGCAAAGTTTTAAACATAAATTTGAATTACCGGTATTTATTTATTTTTAATCCTTAAGAACCTCTTTCAGATTTGTCCCCTTTTCAGATCTGTCTTTTATTTTTTCCAAGAAAACATAACCATAACCAACATTAAGTCACAATAAACCAGTTTTCCCTTTTCCCACTAGCCTTCTGGGGATCTGGCTGGTGGTGGTATTGAAGGGGAAATCCGCATCCCACCCTGGATCTAGTTAGATAAAACCAAAACATAAATTTTGGGAGTCAGTAACTCAGTGATGCTAAGACAGGTGATAGAAGCAGAGGTGGTATTCAGCAAGTTCTGACCAGTTCTGGAGAACTGCTAGCAGAAATTTTGAGTAGTCTGAAAAACTGGTAAATACCAACTCTGACAGAACCGATAGTAAAAATTTTTGAATCCCACTACTGGATAGAAGGCAACCAGTTAATTTCAGGATTGAAACAAAAAATGAATTTGATTAACCCAAAGAAAATAAGTTTATATACATACAGTTTAAATGTAAAAATCTCTAATACAATTCTAACTATAACAAAATATCTTTCAAAACCTTCTCTGGGATGACTCCCTCATCCAAGACCTCTGTCAACACTCTTACACAAAAGAACCCCAAACTCTTCATCTGGAATCTTGACAGAACCCCTTTCTTTACTTTCATTGTCAGGCGACTACCTCTAAGCACTCTCTGGGCATAAGGCTGGTTTGTGATTTAAAGCAGGGGTCCCCAACCGCCGGTCCGTGGACCGGTACCGGTCCGCGGAACAAGTCTTACCGGGCCGCTGGTTGCTGAGCGCCGCCATCTTTTTTTGGTAAAAAAGTGCTTCCGGTGAGCTTTTCCGGGTAGAAAGCTCACCGGAAGCACTTTTTCATCAAAAAAAGATGGCGGCGCCCAGTTGATGCCGGTACCGGGCCGCGGCGCCCAGCTGATGCCGGTACCGGGCCGCGGCATAAAAAAGGTTGGGGATCACTGATTTAAAGGACCAGCTGCTCAGAACTGCAACAATACTATCAATTTTCTAGGTATCTGTTTCTGATTTACAAGATCCATTTGCTGTCAATTCAGTATAGTAACTTACGGATTAGTGGTTGAGAGGATGAACATAGAACTGTATGGTGGCATAGGCTTGGGCCCATCTTCACCTCCTTCATCATCATCTTCCTTTTTTTTCTCTTCCTCTTTCTTTGGCAGAGGCTCTGGATTGGCATTCTTATTGACTGGGAACAAAAGCAAAACCAACATGTTAAGTATAACACAGAGTTGTGGATGTGCAAATAAAAAATAATTCGAGATCAACTTATATACTCAAATGTCCATTCAAACATGTTATTGAGAAGCATAAAGGGGTAGTGCCTCATATCATTCAATCAAATATACAAAGACATCTTTACTAGTTCCTGAAATTATAGTATTATTAGTAGATATTCACTGTGCTTTTAATACACTTCCTCTCTTACACCCACACTGAATTGTTCCCATATGCTCTCTTAAGTCACAGGATCAAATGCATATGATTCTAACTGTTCTGCCTGATGCCCATGTCACCTGGTTTAACTCTATTAATCAAGTACACGTAGTGCTCACCTTGCATTATAGCATTATTGATTGGAGGTGGGAAGGCAGGTGGAATCTCCACTGCTGTGTATTCTGATTTCTTGGCAGTTTTGGATGGATTGTTTTGGGTTGTGGGATTAGTGACAATAAGGCTGTTCTCTGGATTTTTAGGAGCTCCAGGATTGGCTGGGTTACTGGGGGTTTGGCGACTGGTAGAATTCTGAGAGTTGAGAAATGGTTGGTCCAAAGGAATAGGCTGATTTTGGGAAGTGCAGTATGGTGTGGAATTTGAATGGTTTCCTCCTTTGATAGGATCATTCTGAGAATGACTGATGAGATGTGAGTTTGAGGTTTCATTGGTTGCCAATTTATTATTCTTCATGTTGTCAATATCCTCAGATACTGGAGGTTCTAAATGTCCCATATCTTGCTGAATTGGCCTTGTGGTAGATAGGTTTGGTCCTGGTGGATGACCAGATCCTTGGTTTTCTCTGTAGCATATTAAAAAATATGAAAAATTAGCAACATATTATTTCTTAAACATCATAGAAATACAACTAATATGGCAGTAGGGAATATTTAGAACCATTAGGTTGCTGTTATTCTCACCACACTCCAAACCAATACCTGGAAGAAGCATTATACAAACACTTTCTATTGTTAAACCTACATTTTAGGACCCAGATTGTTGGAGGAAATATGTAAATAATGCTTCTACATTGTAAACTGCTCAGAGAATGGTGTAAAGCATTATGGGGTGGTAATAAGTCTAAATGTTATTACTATTTTCTTCATCCATAGTCCATTTCCCAGTCCCTCCTAAACATTTTGAATAACTATATTATCTCGGTGTCCATAAAATGAATTCATATTAGCAAAAGGTGTCTCTCCCCTTTATAGTTTCATGGGAATACCGCATGCATGTGGAAATATTGGCTGTACAATAATCTAACTGTATGTAAACTAAGGGGCAATTGATGAAATAGTATTATGCATGCATTTGTGTGTAAATTATACATTCTCTATTACAAAATTAGATATTCTAATCCGGAATAATGACAGGTTTCCAAGTAATGAAATCCATGTTAAAAGAAAAATAACAAAGTCCATCTTCAAAAAGATTTCTTTTATTTAGGAAAACATCAAATTGGCAAAGTCCATGGTAATTCCGGATCTGACCCAACCCAGAATTACTGTTAGGAATGTAAGTCACCTAACAGTTGGGTTGGAAAATATATAAACCAGGATAGACATTTTAATACTGTCTCTTTAAGAGAATGCTAAAATTGTAATTGGATGTGGTTCCTCAAATGGCCAAAAGATGGAGCCAGAAACCTGGGTTGTTTTAGTCCTGTTCTGTTATTGCTGAGAGTGTGTTCCTGTATTTCCCTATTGACTGTTACTGATCATAGTTATTATTGGGTTTGATGTAAGTCTGTTACTGAACTGTTTTTGATACTGGACTTTGTTATTGGATTATCCCTGGACTTAAAACTGACTGCTTTAACCGTGAATGACTTGGACTGTTTTGTTGAACTTTGCTTAACATTTTTACTGGAAGTAAAAACCTACATTTTACTACACAGTGCATCTGTATGCTAGTTGTGTGTTATTCTTTACTACTCTCACTATGTCTCCCTGTGTGCGCTCATTCTCCTTACGGGGAATTACCTCAACTATTACCCCACAATATTAGAAGTTAGAAACACCCCCCAAAAGTCACATTCTCTAATAGAAGTAATACGTTGCTTGATGTCATAAATCTCCATCTCCAAGACCCCAAGCCCAGACGGCTCATTTCCCATGGGAAAGAAGATACCCTAGACATAACACTCTCTTTATCTCCATTCCTCCCACCTTAGGAATGTGTCAAGCCCGCAACTTATCCCCCTATGACTACCACAGGGGAAATAAGAAAAATAATATATACTAAGACAAACTAAAATGGCTACACTTATGACAATTTCGGGCTTGATACAGGGGTTCCCAACCCCCAGGACCCTGGCCCAGTACCAGGCTGTGACCTGTTGTGAACTGGGCCATGCAAGTGGCTTGTGCGCATGCAAAACCATCCTCTCTACCACCCTGTCACTGTCGCTACTGGTCCACAGACCTGGAAAGGTTGGAGACCACTGTTTTAACTAGCAATGCCTCTATCATCAAAGAAGCTTTATTTCTTGAGATGCGAATCAGTTATCATGTAGGAAATTTGACCAACTAATTTCATTCAAATAAAAACTTCTCCCTAAATCTCAAAATAATTATTTAACCTTTTATAAGAACTTAAGTGAGATGGTATTCTAAAGTAATTGTAAGGAAATTATTTGGCATGATTTTAGGAGACCCCAAATGATAATATCTCACTCCTGTTCTTACTTACTTCCTGCGTCGGTGTCGGCGTTCCTTGCCATCAACTTCATAAGTGGACTGTCCAGCATGCCGGTGCCGTCGGCGCCTTTCTCCATCAGGATGCTCCCCACCCATGTCAGTTCGTACAGGTCCGCTCCCCTCACGATGCCGAGGGCGACGCTCAACTCTGCCACTCTGTTCACCACTTCCATCATCTGGTATTCGGCGGTGTACTCTATGCCTCCGATGCTCCCGTTCACCATCTACCGTACGAGGTGATCCACTCTGACTTTCTTTGCTACCTTGGCGCCAGCGGTGGGGATCTAATTTTTTTATGCGCTCTGAGGCACAGTCACCATGATAACCCTGCTCTGGAATGGCACTATGCTCCTTGCTGGGATAATCAATATCATGACATCTACTTTCTTGATTAAAGTCAATTTCCTTGCTATTGCTCCTTGGGTGTCGAGGCTCCAAGCTTCCTGAGTCGGGACGCTCATATAGGTGGGGTTCTCGTGAATGTGCATGGTAACGAGGTGGTTTTCGTAGGAATTCTACAGACCGTTCCTGTCCAAAGTGGGGATTCAAGGGTGGTTCATTGGGACGGGTCTTGTTGGTGTTGTTATTCCGATTTTCTTGAGGATCTACTACCAGTGGTCTGTCTAAGTGAGTTTTCATGTCTGGACGCATTTGCCGGGCATATGTAACCTTCCAATGATCCTCAGGGTCCATCTCATTGTATAGGGCCTCTCTACTTGCCAGCAAATTCTGTTTCCGCATTTCACTTGTCCGCTGTTCCCAAACAGATTTGTTGCCTTTTTGATTTTTTTGCTGCTCTTTCCTATGGGAAAAAAAGATAGATTTTTAAAATGTTCTCTGAGCAATAGCAGCTCTGTCTAAACCCAGTATTTCCTACTTTAAGTCACTTTGGAGGTGTGGATTTTATTCCTAGAATTATACAATTAGCTTAGCTATGGTTAAAGATTGAGAGTTGAAATCAATACATCTGAAGCGCTTTCAGGTTAAGAAAAGATATCCTGACCTGAAGTATTCAACATCAGATTCTGTAGTAGGTCTAATATTCTTGTTGGGGTACTATACTACTGTGTCATCTATTCCCAATCAATATTTTTTTCAGAACATCCAGCTTGTACCTTCTTAGAAACAATGTAAGCCAGAAGAAAATGATATGTATCTGTGAATTAGGCTTTTATGGCCAAATATATTTGAGCAACTGTACCCCTTTTGGGTCTGCTGCTGAGTTTTAGTAAATTTGATAAAGTAATGGGAAAGAGTGGGCAGATGAAAGCAACGTATGCAAAACTGTAAGAATTTTCTAAATAAATGAATTTTACTTTGAGACACAATTTGTTTTACTTTTTCCTGCACACATTTAACCTCTGACACATTTTACATGACATAAATGCAATTCTCAATCCCAAAAGGTTATACATCCATAAATACCAATGTTGGTGACTGTAATTGCAATTGAAGTTGGTAACAGTGTCAATGAGATGTTTAGATTGGACTTGGCATTTTTATCATTTTTACTGCTACTAAGCTGATCACCAAAGTCTGATGTCCCAGAAGATAAGTGACACAACTTTTCAGCTGCATGTTTTATTGGTATGACTGGAAGCAACATGCAAGGCCAGAGAAAATACTTGGTTTATGAATTGCTCTTGACCTGCCAGGAAAACTGCCCGTGAATCCGGATATGTACAACCACGTTCAATATTATATTAATTTCTCTCTGAGATGCAACAGAGACTCTTTCTATCTGCGTTTAAGAAACTAATAAATAGTCACGTGTCTTCATTCTTACTTTGTACTGCCTGCTGTTATAGGATGATAAATAGAAATAATTTGGGCTGCAGCTTACTTTCCCACCTCAATTCTCCTTATGTACCCCATGCTTCTACATACATTATGAAAGACCAATGATTTTCCTCCATAAGCTATCCCCACCATTTAACAGAACCTCACTGGAGACGATTCACTAAGATCCAGACATGATCATTAATCTGCTTTGCTTTGCAGAAAATGCAGGGTAACATTGGACAGTGATCCATCAATAAAGCACTTACGCTGCTATTGACATGTTGGCTGCAGAAAGAGGACTCACTTCTGCTACTTCCTTCGCCTTCTGGAGGGCAAGTTTCTGGTTAGCTGCTTCTTCTTCTTCTTGTTCATCCTGCGAAGGCCATATATTAGAGAGGATCTGCTAGTGCCCTCACCCTTCCCACTGAAGCCAAGAGCCATTCTTCTGTTTCATGATCTTTCTAGTGCTTTGAATATAAGTGGCTACATGCTGTTCATAAGGTAAGGCCAAAGAGCCCTCTTACTAATGTACTTTTACAATTCAATGAAATCTCCTATGATCACCAGTATATGCTATAGAAATAGTAAGACAAATGCAAAACCAGAACATATTGAAGTATTTATAAAAGAGAGAGGCACAGAAGCACAAAACCTTTCTGCCATTAACAAATATAAAGTTTAAATGTAAAGTTTGAATTTGTCTTCATGTCCTGCTTACTGCAGCACAAAAATGGCTTGCTGATTATTTTTTCAGGAACATCTCCTCATGACATCACCTGTATTTCACTGCTAGCCTGCTGTGGAGGCAGCCAAATATTGTTTGCTGTTAAAGAGGGTTTTTTCCCCTTCTTCTTCAGTAATTGCTGCTTTGAAACTGTCCCACATTAAATTTGTAAGAACAGCCAGCTTCCCAGTCTCGTGGCTGAGACACAATAAAGCTTACATTATGTTGACCTATTTTTGGGCTAAAAGGATGGCAGGAACTCATGTATAGCTTTAGATATTTTTCACAGCAGCATATTCAGACAAGAGCTAAACGTTATTACTATGAAGCTAAACTGAAAGTGAGAATTTAGAACTTCATAAAACAGAATCACCTAGTACAAAGATTTGCTCATTTGTATCATGTAATTTATGCCAGAGCTTAGCAATAAAAGTTCCCACATGCCAGGTCACCTTTCATTATGTAATCTTTAAATTAAAATTATATTTTAAAAATAGCAGAAACCCATGAAATTATTAAGTCTTGGAAGGTTTGAGCAATCTTTCATCACTGAATGAGAGTTTGCCGAAAATGTGTATGAAATTTCACGTTTAGCTTTCTTATATAAGACTTTTAAAGATATTGTGGGTTTTGAGTGATAACAAGGATGGGAGGTGCCATCATTTAATATCAAATGATGGTGCCCATGCTCTGAAAAAATTACCAACCTTTGGACAGCAGCAATTAATATTGGATTGCAAAATCCATGTGTTTCTTGAAGAGTGTGGATGTCAATTCAGCAGTCCTACAATTCCATGCATCTAGAAATTCCATGCATTTGGTTCATGGAGAACAATCAGACATTAAATTTGATTCAACATAAATGTGTATGTACTACTGGTTATCATCATCCAATATAATAATGCTAACTTTGAATGGAAGATCACTGATTTATGGCTGGGTTCAATGGATGGAGTAATGATTCTTTCCTCCACTTCAGTAATCACATTTAGTAAATAAGCATTCCACAATCCCTTGTCCATTGCTAGAGAAGCAATCTTACCTTGGTGAGCTCTTGTGCATTGGCCAAATTATCCACAGCAATAGCCAAAAACACATTGAGCAAAGTGTCTAAATGATGAGAGTTAAGGTAACATTAGAATATCAGTTTATTTAAAAAAATAAATTCAACACCTTCACTTTGCTTGTAGGCCTTTCCTCCTAAGATTGCCCGGACTTAGAAGTGACTTAGAAGTTAGGTTTTAGTAACAGTACTTGGCTGCTTGTGATGGCCTTTCTTTTTCACAAATTAAATGAAATGAATAACTCACTGAACTCCTATCTTTGAATCTTGAGCACTGAAGTTGCATACTTCTTTTTAGTAATACTTAAAAAGGAGCAGCATTTTCTCATTGATTTGAAGAAGGAATATTTCTCTAGCTGTGCAACATATCATCAAGATGAAAGAATCACCTACTTTATACTGTAGCAATCACTGGTTAGTGCCTTCCATGCATAATTCACAATATAATCTCTAAAATAAGATAATAATATATTTCTTTGCAAAAGGATACAGTTACCAAACAAGGTCAGGACTATGAAATAGATTGAAAACATCATTCCTTTATCAACACCGCCCTGAGATTGGATACCATGATACATCACTTCATTCCAGTCTTCGCCAGTCAGGATCTGAAAAATTCAATTAATTACTCCAACCCCAAGAAACAAATTTCTTAGTGTATATAAAATTGCAAAGTGGATTTAATATTAATCAATTGGGGAATTCAATAGACATCATATTACATGTGAAGAAGGCAATAATTTAAATGTAATATTGTATTTGATAATACTAGACAATTTCCACCCTATCTCTATTCTTCTCTTTCAGAGGAAGGGTTAAGACAAAGTTATAGGGCTTCAGTAACTGGATTTTCTGAATCTTTGCTATAGCCTAGGCATCAAGCAAAAGCCTAAGTAGGTAGTTCCAGTCAAGGATGATGGGAGAAAATACCTCAAACTCCCGGCTATTTAGTTTTCTCACATTTCTCACCCATCGTATTTAACAGTTATGTGAAACTTCTGGAAAATGTCATCTGCTGATAAGATATCATCAATATTCTGATATATCTGAACTGAATAGAAGATGCTGATCTATAGCCATCCTGCCTTAGATTCTGGAACTTGCAAGGGACTGGTTAGGTTGAAAGAGGTTCAAGTTGCAAATCTGCAAAACACATAGCTGATTCTTTACAAATAATTTGGCTTCTTATGGAAGCTCCAGCTTTGGCTCTGGCCCTTGAAGGAGCAGGTCCCTGATCCAGAGATTCCCATGGACTCCTGGCTCCTATTGGAACAATGCAGAAATCATGGCAAGGAAAACATTTTTTGCCCAACCTTGATTAGTGCACCAGGTTTTTGGAGCCTTGTGCTCAGCTACAGCCACTATGCCCTCATCACCACATACCTGGCTATTGCACTCTACTTTTGGTTGCCTTTGAAGAATCAGTTCAAACAGATTAACTGATGAGATGGAAACTAACCTCTCCTTTGGTTGCTATGCTACTTCCAGATACAACTCAAAGTGTTATTACCAATACCGCCCTACGCAGTACAGGTTCTGATTAGCTGTTGGCTCATCTGCTCCAAGTAGCATCTGCATATTCTCCCAGGCCTTAGAATCAGATGGATGGGAACCCCCTACTTGCGATGTTTTTGATATGTAATTTGGATTGCCTTTTTGTAATTATTTTGTAATTATTTTTTTGTAATTTGTTCCGGTCTATTTTATCACAATTTGTTTTTATTTTGGTGAGCTGCCCATTGTCGGATGGAATCACACTGCATCAAAACTGAATAACTAATATTAACAAATGATAATACATGTACTGTATGTTTGAGCTGTGAATTTATATGCTGCTTATTTTAAGTCCCTTGGAAATTTGCCTTTTCTGTGGCTGCCTCAAACTTTGACTCCAATATAAAAAAATTGAGGTGGTTATTGAAATAGTTAGCAGCTATTTTTTTCCTTTTTATTTTTCTATGATTTGTAATGCTATCCTTTATATAATATATATAAAAACCCATGATTGGGATAGCATAAAGATCCTATAAATCATATTATATTCATTTTAGCCCAGCCATTATATTTTTGAATGTTACTACCAAAATGTCTTTCTATTCCCTTTGTTATAATGCCAATTCTTTATGTTACAATATTTAGAATGTGCCCCAATCCTAAACATACTCTGAGAAGCAACTGGGGCTTGATGTCATTTTTGTCTTCCCACCCCATTGTATAGAATGCTTTTTTCTACAGCCTTAAGGAAATTAAACCAATCCAGCCATAAAGTATATAATTCAAGAGATGCAAACTAAAATGAATACAATAAAGAATGTTTTATAATAATTTATTATATATGCCATTTGCAATTCTGGACGGTTTACAAATTGTTAAAAAACATTTAGAAGAAGAAAACAACACAAAACAAAAAAGAGCAAGGAGGTTGGTAGAGATAACCCAGATAAGAACAAAGAAAAAAATGAAAAAGGTATTTCAATCACACTAGCCAAAGTCCTGAGTCAATTCTTCAAGACATTTTGAAACACTAATAGGATAGAAGCCATTTGAATCTCAAAGGTGGCCTCATTCCAGAAAGGGGAAGGGGAAGGGGAATGCTGCTACAGAGAAGGTGCACATCTGTAATCCAGAGACCTGGTATTGTTTAACTGAATGAACCCGGAGGATGCCAACCCACCCAGGAACGAATTAGAGGGATCAGAAGCCAAAAACCAAGAAAGCCCCATTGAAGTTCTCTAATTGTCTCTTTATTGTTCCTCACTTATAGAAAGAAATCTTGCCAAATTAAAGCAGGCTACTTGCACTACGAAATATGTACTCTGAGAACTACTAGGGGAGGAGAGCTCTCTAAGCTTCACTGTCTTCTGCTCCTCTGGAACGCACACCCTCCCTTCCTGGGAATCTGGGCTACATTCCAAAACAATATGGAAGGCAGACAGAACTTATATGTACAGCAACTAAGTCCCATGTAGGGCTTTATTAAGTAGAAACCAACACTTAGAATTGCACCTGGAAGCAAACTAGAACACAAAGAAGAGTCTTACATGGGAATACAGAGGCATGCCCATCATTATTCATGACTCTCCCTGGAAGTTAAAATAGTAAATGCAATGGCTAAAGAACAATGTTTGTGTCATAATAAAGCTCAACTTTAAAACAGTTTTTCTGACATACAGTAAATGTGTGTGATATATTACCAAGGGTGGGATTCTACCAGTTCGCACCTATTCGCTAGAACCAGTTGTTAACATTCTAAGCAGTTCGGAGAACCGGTTGTTAAAAGAAATTACTGGCCTAATCCTGTTAGGAAGGCAGGAAGGAAACATTCTGGTGTTGCTTATAGAAACTGCCTGTCATGCCCCTGGTGGAGACTGACTCTGAGGAAGAGGAGGAACAGCCAACAGGGAGTGGGAGTGTGACTCCAGAGGTGGTGGAGGAGGCTGGGGAAGGGCAGAGGCCGGCTGAGCAATCAGAGGAGGATCCAGGCCCTTCCCCTATCCATCCTAGGTCACGCAGGGAGGAGAGGATCAGGGAAAAGCGAGGTCTACTCAAGAGGAGATTACCATGATCCTCCTCGTGGCTTGCAGCTGGGAGCTATGTATATAAGTATGTAACTGCGCAGTCAGAATTGCTAGAGTCAATTTAGTGTTTACTTTAGAGGTTTATCTTTACTGGCGTTCTTCCCATGGACTCTCCTCGGTTATTTTCCTGGAGTTTATGATTAGTTATCTTGGCTTGCTTCGGAACTCTCGTCAATGCGGTTTGTTTTGGTTTTCTTTTTGCCTCATTATTTACTTTTGTGACTTTAAACTGTGCCTAATAAAACAGTGAAGTTAAGTTGAAGGCCTTACTGGACTTGAATGTATGTTTTGGGTTTTGGGTTATTTTGAGAGACTACGGGTCATCACACTGCCTCTCCGTTAACCCTTATTACATTCTTGGCAGCACTAGACTTCCTGTCTCAGGAACTTCTCTGGAGTTTTTTTCCCCTCCTTTGCTGATACTTTGCTTGTGTGGAGTGACCATTCAAAGTTAAAATGGCACTGAAAAAAGTGACTTATGACCATTTTTCACACTTACAACTGTTGCAGCATCCCTACAGTCATGAGAGGCCAGGGGAGGAGATGCGTGCCTTGGTGTGAGTGATATTGAGTTGGCCACGCCCAGCCGATAACATGACCACCAAGCCACATCCACCCAGTCACATGACCACCAAGCCACGCCCACCACCTGCCACCCCCACAGAACCAGTTGTTAAAAATTTGAATCCCACCCCTGTATATTACCCTATGTGTACTGTGTACTGTGTACTGCTTCCATATCTATCTATAAAAGCATGAGAGATAATCAGAACAGACTAGAGTGACAACACATACTATTTCTTTCAGAGCCCCAGTTCTATAGGGTTAATTTAGTTGCAGTATGCAACTACAATGCAAAACATAAAAAGCAAGGTACAATAATACAGTAAAACATTGCACCAGCAGCTGCTGCTGATCTCCTCCCCAAAGCAGCAGTCACTTCAAAATTTATCTGCCAGTTTTGTGAGTAATGTTTCCGGTTGTCATATCTCCATCTCATTTAAATCAGGGAAGAATCTGGGGAAACTACAAGGAAAGGAAAAACTGCTATCTGAACTTCTGTGGAGTATATTTGGCTCCTGTGTAAGATTTGTACCAAAAACAAAAAACCCAACAAGTCAGAGAAAACAGCTTTCCCATCTCCCTTCTTACCTGAAATACTGTCATTATTGCTGCTGGAAAAGTGTCAAAATTGGTTGGTGGGGTTCCATTATCAAAATTGAACCTGTACAGGGATATTAATTCGATAACAACAAATTATAATCACACATACTACATTATTTTCATTCTTCTGTTCTTAGATCACTCAGGCCTATACCTGATACCATGAGTGGTATCCATCCTCCAGTGCAAATAGATGTATGGAGATGGGGCATAGGAAAGCCCAGGTTATCATAAGATGGAATCAGGCAACTTTCTCAAGCAGCTGATTTGGGATATTGTAACACGGTACAAATTCGACAATAAATGTATTGTGCTTTTACTACTAGGGAGGAGGAAAAATGCTTGTAGGGGTTTTCTGCTTTGGATACCAAACTGTTTGTTTTAGAGGATGCCACTATAATTAAATGTATTCCACATTCTGTGCATTCATCTGCATTACTGCATGTCTGTGGAAGGAATCTGAGAAAAAAGGAAAGTGATTATATCCAACTCTAATTAAAATATCAATATAGGTATGGATAGTAACTATAGGTTTAAGCACTGGGAAGGGGGCAGAAAAAATGAGATAACCATTGTTTTTGTATGCGATGTCTGCAGCATAAAAGTTCTTGAGCACAAGAATTTTAGGAAGCAGGCAAAGCTATCTCATGTTTGTAAAAATACTTTTCTCTACATTAGAAAATCTTTTGCTCACACTTGGGTACTTCCAGGGTTTTAAAGATACTTAATTGGAGTAATCATAGTTTATTGGGATATAAAAACCCTTATGACTTTGTAGTCCTATCTCTCCTTTTATGGGCTCAGCTTCAATCTTTATTAAATCACTTTCTAAGAAATATGATACAGAAAATTGTGTTTGGAATACTACTTAGAAAGCAGAATATGTAATCAAGATTTTGGGTTTAGACTTCACAGGAAGTAGTCAACAATTCACCACAAACTAGAACAAATGGAAGGGAAAAGGCCAAGAGGATGTCCATTAGAACACTTATTTTTCCCCGTCTGATAAACTATGAAAACGATAGCAAAATGATAATGAGACATATATGAACCTGGCTCAGATATTCACACAAAGGATACCTCAGGGAAGGTCCCCACCTCACCACAATTTCCCATTACTCACTGGCCCCCAAAGAGTTGCATTCCCAAAAGGGCGAAAACGACTATGAAGAGGAAAAGGAGGAAAAGAAGGCTGATTATGGACTTCATGGAGTTCAGCAGAGATACAACTAGGTTTCGTAGGGAAGCCCAGTACCTGCCGAAAAAAAAATTCCACATATGAACTATGTATGTTAATCAGATTCACACCAAAAAATTGGAAAGCTCTTTCAGGCCTACAATTTAAGCTAATGCAAACAATACTGATAATCCATTGAATAATAAAATATTTTCTTGGTTATCATGTATATAACTGATACTAGCATATTTCTAAATGCATTTTATCAATTCATTTCACAGTTCTTTTAAAAAGAAAGTTACATTTCTTTTCTAATAAATCATCAGCACATCTTGTTTTACATATTGGCAAACTATATATTTACTACAGCTTTATTCTTTCTATAAGCTCCAAGATATTTGTAGTGTAAGATTTTCTCTTATTATTACATCTTCACAACATATTTTTATCTGATAAAGCTGTTATTAACTCTAGCCTATGCTGTCATCCTTGCTTTAACTCTATATTTAGAAAACACACTCACAGACTTTATGCATTTCTGATGTATTGTCTTAAAGCCCACTTACTTTGTGACTTTGAAAATACGCAGTAACCTGAGAGCTCGTAAGACGCTTATCCCAAAGGAGGTGCCAGGCTTTATTGCAGCCCAAATGACCTCAAAGATGCTCCCAATGATAACCTGCCAAAAATCAAGGGAAGTCAACAAGTTTGCACTGAACTTGCATTATGTAGCTGTACAAGATATGCAGTGGTATAATTAGACATAAGTATGAAAACAAAAACAGCAAGAGATCATAGTTCAGTGAGAGACCACAAGCTGAGAGCAGTCCCTCAGAACTCTAATTAAGTTGTATGGTACTGCCAGTCACAGTTGTAAGTATTGGGTTAGATGGCCAAGCAGACTGATGTAAAATAAGACAACTTCTTATGTTTTGGAAAAAACATTTAAAAGATAAAGGAACCATGCTATGGTTTTCTAAAACATAGTTATATCCTAGAAAATGGTGATTTATTTACATTGACTTTCTGTCCTTATTTTCATCAAAAGCATTCCTTAACTTTAATTAAGCTTTTAGAGAAGGTTTGTATTCATATTCTTTTGAACCGTACGCTTCTTAAATGGAAATTAATAGCTGGACAATTCAAATGGCTTTTCTGTACCATCTAATTGTTAAGAGGCTAATTTTATGCTTTCTTATTGTTAATTATCTAATGCAGGGGTGGGATTCTACTGGTTCAGACCAGTTCTATTGTTATGAATCTGTGCAGTTTGGAGAACCGGCAAATCACCGCTCTCTGCCTGCTCCTCCCCTCCCTGCCCAGTCAGTCCTTATCACACATGCACGACATCGCGCATATGCCCGACATCCCTGACTGCATTCTCCCCCTCCCAGTCACTCCTTAAGGTATTTTTTTTTCTCTTCCTCCTAACGATCAGCTGTCCCTATGATCAGTTGTGTCAGGATTCCCCTAGTTGTGTTACTGCTTCACCCAGGAGGCTTCCCTGAGGTCCAGGAAGGCAAAAAATGGAGGGCGGGGGGCACAGCTCCCCCTCTCGATTTTTTGCCATCCTGGGCCCCAGGGAAGCTTCCTGGGAGTAAAAAAAGCCCCCCCCAGGAGGCTTCCCTGAGGCCCAGAAGGCGCCAAAGCAGAGCATGGGGGGGGGGTGCTGTGCCTCCCCGGCTCCGTTTTTTGCCTTCCTGGGCCCCAGGGAAGCCTTCTGGGAACAAAAGCGCCTCCCAGGAGGCTTCCCTGAGGCCCAGAAGGCCCCAAAATGGAGCATGGGGGGGTGCTCTGTGCCCTCCCAGCTCCATTTCTTTTCCTTCCTGAGCTCCAGGAAAGCCTTCTGGGAGCAATAACGCCTCCCAGGAGGCTTCCCTGAGGCTCACAAAGCCCCCAAAATGGGGGGGGGGGGAAACTGCCAAAAAAAGTCATGCCCACCCAGTCACGTGGCCATGCCCACCTAGCTATGACCACAGAACCAGTTGTTAAAAAAATTAAATCCCACTCCTGATCTTAGGCCTCAGTTCCCTGTGACTGAGATTTGATTACACTTTCTCAACCGAGAATGCTTTCTAATGGTTTCACTGTGGGAACAAGAAGCTTTTTCATTGGCAATAGCTATGCCAATGGCAACTTCTTTATTCCATAGCTCTCCCTCTCCTTTCTGCTGGAATATTGCTGGAGGACCACAGTACCTTTATATGGGTTCTGGGACTTTATGCAGCTAATCTGGTTTTTTTCCAATTATAGAATCATTTTCTGCTTTTCTTGATAGCTATAGCTATTGATAGCTAAAGGAAGCATACATTAAATCTGACTGTTCCTACTCAACTGTTGCAAGGATTGCTTTGATGGTGGATACAGTGGCTGTTATCTATGTGTCCAAAATAACTTCCAAGCATGAACAACTGCAGCACTGATGAACAAAACTTCAGGTCCAAGACCCATTCCTATACAAGGAAGAGGGATTTGATTGTACAATGCCCCTGCTATCTCTTCCCTCTCCAGTTATGAAAGCCTTAGCTTCAAGTTAAAATAGCATATGAATAGAAATCAATTAAGCCACAATTTATAATGAGACTGTCACTCAGCAGACAAGTCAACATTGTTTGGATGTTCTGAAGTAATTTATTTATTTATTTATTTATATTTTATTTTATTTTGACAAAAGCTTACAATACAATAGAAATAAGAATAAACTTAAGTTTAAATATAAGAAAATAGGAACTAATAATTGGGGACAAAAGGTCAGGGACAGTAGGCATGATTGTGCGCTTATAGACTCCCTTAATTGCTCTTGGAGAAGGAATAGATCAAATTTCATGGAGACAACAATTCTGCATCCTGAGAAGTATGAGCCACGGTGGCGCAATGGTTAGAGTGCAGTACTGCAGGTTACTTCTGCTGCCTGTCGGCTGCCTGCAATTTGGCAGTTCAAATCTTACCAGGCTCAAGGTTGACTCAGTCTTCCCTCCTTCTAAGGTGGGTAAAATGAGGGCCCAGATTGTTGGGGCAATATGCTGACTCTGTAAACTGCTTAGAGAGGTCTGTAAAGCATTGTAAAGCAGTATGCAGGTCTAAGTGCTATTGCTATGGCAATCTTGAAAAGTATTATAAGCAGTACTAAGACTCTGGTAAAGAATTTGATCCTGGGAAGGCTTGTTAGGGTTAGGGTCAACTTCTGACAACCTGATGGAAATCATGAATTCCTGTATTTGACAAGGTTTAAATAACAGAATATAAAGTTCCCATCCTGAAATGTATCACAGCAATGTTCCTGTTGACTAATTTAACCTGTTCTTTGGAACACTAAGAAAAAATCCAAGAAAATCCAATACCTGCTAATTTCAAAACTCTTAACACATAAATATACTTCAACTGCAAACATTTGGGGCAGTATTAGGATGTAGCATTGGATTTGCTTTCTTCAGAATTAGATTTAGAAAAGTTCAAAACTTAACTTAGAGAACAGTAATTATAACATTGGAAGTCACTATAAACATTTGAAGCTCTATTTGCTTTCAAAGGCTTGCATTTTCAAAAAGGAACAAACCTAGCTACAGTGTAAAAGAACATCCAATATGTTGCTACACCATAATTGCATGATAGAAACTCCAGTCAGACTAAAAACCATTATATACATCAATGAGTGAATTATATTTCTATAATACAAGTAGCAGGTTGATTGGGGGGGGGGGATTACAAAGCAATTACTTTTGCTTATGAGGCCTGATAGGAGTTTATTTCTTGGTCTTTTGTTATATAGTAAATTAGATTTGGGCTTCCCATGGAAATGAAGTTTCTGCTCTAAAATTATTCATATTGCAGTGCTAGTTAATTATAGAGCTAGTGTATGTTCACTGTAAACTGAAAGAATGTACATCAAATCATCTACTAGAATAGTTGCAGTTTGATAGTTGTATATGCAATAGCCAAAATGCTAATGTTCTGAAATAACTTACAGCACAATCAAAGCAGTTGAAAGATGAATGAAAGTAAGGCCGCGTTCCAAGCCCATACATTTTTATAAACATTTCGGACATAAAGAGCCCTAAGAAAATGAATTCTGCATAGTCTGAAACAAACAGAGGAGGAAGAGGGGGAAAAAGTCAGTTATACTTTTCCATCCACAAAACTCTCTTCTTTCTACTGTCAAAAAATCCTTATGTCTGACTATATAGGAATTCCAACCTTCCTACTTTAGAATAGATTGTTAGCCTTCCCTAACTTAAACATGTCAATATATCATATTACCTTTGTAGATTCAAGAAAGTAAACTACAAGACAACTGAGTCCAGAGAACAGTTAGCTAATTGACACCATGAAAAATCTCTCAGATTATAGTTTTGCTACATCATAGTAATTCTGGATTTCTTTTCTGTATTTATATATTTAAAATATTTGCTGATATGCAGAAGACATGACTCCAACTTAGAACAAAAATGAAAACATACAACTGAGTTGAAGGCACAAAACAGTTTTTTTTAAAAGTGACCTTACAGCAACTTCTAATCTTTAAACCAATATTTTATAGCCTATTTCTCATGAAATATGGTAAATTTCCATTATACAGATGGGACACCCATCTATCTACTTATTTGTACACAGACAAAAAAAGTCTCTTCAAAGAAAAAAAATGCTACACTTCCAGCTTTAATACTGTTGTGTATTACTTTTCACAATTAGCTGGAAGCAGAATTAAAACTGAAACTCTCTCTAATGTAGTCAATTAGTCCAAGATCCATCAGTAATACTAACAAGTTTCAATATGTCTAAACCTCCACTTGCCTTCCAGTCCATTTTATCTCTCCTTAATATAAGTAGCTAAATTATTATGGATGAACTGCATCTTAGTAATTTTTATTTAATAATTGGATTCTTTCCCTTTTTTCAAAAAAAGATGTCATACTTCAAGAAGGTCATTATTAAATAGTATTGCAGTCACATTACATATATTGGAATTTCAAGAAGGTCATTATTAAATAGTATTGCAGTCACATTACATATATTGGAATTTCAGAAATGAGGTCTGAAAATTAATTTCGAAAACAGCATGCAATTCAACTGTGTGGGGGGGAGGGGAAGGAGGGAGAGAGGGAGGGAATGTTTTCCACTATAGCCGGCGAACCTCTGGCACGTGTGCCACAGGTGGCATGCAGAGCCATTTGTGCGGGCACACGAGTCCCAGCCAAACTTACCTGCACTGCGCATGCACGCGCCTCCCAGCTGATTTTCAGCCCGTTTGAGGCCGTTTTTGCTCTCTCGAGGGAAGCCTCTGCAGCCTTGGGAGGCCGAAAAACGGGCCTTACGGAAATACTGGAAGTGCCAAAATGGGCCCATTTCCAGCCTCCTGAGGTTCCCAAGGCTTTGCTCGAGTCTCCAGGCCCCCCCGAAAACGGCCTCCCCCAGGCTCCAAGGCCCTCCAGAGGCTGAAAACAGGCACTTTCAGTATTTCCGGAAAGCCCGTTTTTCGGCCTCCCGAGGCTGCAGAGGTTTCCCTCGAGCCTTGGGAGGGTGAAAACAGCCTCAAATGGGATGAAAATCAGCTGGGAGGCACGCACATGCACAGGTAAGGGAGTGGGGTATTGCATGCACATGTGCAGGAGGGGTGGGGTGCATTGCATTGTGGGTGCTGGTACGCGCGCGCTTTCGGCACACCACAACAAAAAGGTTCACCATCACTGCACTATAGGATTCCCTAAGCAGAATTTCCAACCTCAATGAGAACCAGAGTAAATTCTATTCAGTAACTTCAAAATGATCTATTGTAAGTCTATACTATTGTTTCGTTTCATGGATTGTTTTAATAACGTGGTTTCCTGCAACAAATTCTTGGAATTGCCATTTGATGCAAGTACTACCAGTAATTCTTAGAAAAGGCAATGACAAGTCAAAGAATTCCACATTATAGATTATCTTTTCTCTCTTTTTAGATGGCACAGTACATGAATTAAAAATCCTAAATTCAGTTTTCTAATCTACCATATTGGTTTAAGTTCACTTATTCCCAAGAAGTTTAATTGTGACTACTTTTAAATATAAATCTCAATTAATCATACAATGTAATAAGGGAAAGTTCATTATTGCTGTCTTACCAAATGAAAATGCTATCCTGGTTTCTATTAAGCAAAAATGACAAAGCCTAAATTATTGCAAGCCGCCTTCCGCTAATAAATCCATTTCATAAAGAAGGACATGGATCTGCTACTTACAGAGGAAGTCAGATAGCCAATCTGGCTGGTTGTAATGTACTATAGCAACACACAAAGTGTTGAGAGCTACCAGACTGAGGACTGTCCAGTAAAAGGCCTGAGTTTTGACAATACGACGGATATAGAAACGCAACCTCCGCTCTTTTTTGTGAAAGAAAGTAGCATTTTCCAGCGTGACACTTTTGATGCTGGCTCGAGCAAAAGGTGAACCTGCCAAGGAGAAGTAAAAGTTAGCAGCATAAGAGAAGCCACTATTTGAAATAATCTGCCTGTGGGGTGGAAATTTATGAACTTGTTTTATTTGGTATGGTTGAGATAGATAATGTGAACCTGCTCTGTCTTCTGTGATTTTTAAGCAAATACTAGCAAGTCTCTCTGAACACATCTTCTCTGTAATACACCATGGACAAGAAGGAAGGTGATAGAAAGATAGGTGATTGTTCATTTCTAAGGGGCCTAGCATTGACCATTCTGGACTAGCAAGTTTTAGCATGCTTGCTGCAGGATGGGTCTGTGGGGCTGATACTACACTTTGCCATTATTTAGTCAACCCCTGTCTATTCAACTTCTGAGCAAGAATATGAGTGAATGCAATAACTAGTCCCTTCATAAAAAGTAGTACTAAAACTGCAGCATTTGCATATATATATGCTCACAAAATCATCACAGTTTGCTAACACAACTGGCTTCAAATGATGACATTTCAGGACATATGCTTTAGCCATAGTTGAACAACAATATATGATGGCAATACATTAACACATCATAAACATATAATTCAACATAAATGGATACTCAAATGCATCTTAGGATAAAATGTGGGTTCAAAATATGATCAGGTTTTCCAGATTTGAAAAGATTGAAGACTACAATTGAGGCCAAAATGTTGTTAAGCAAGGCAGCTGTTACGTGACTTTTGCCCCATTCTACCCGCACCACCCCCATTTTGATTTTTCTTGCCACAATAGTTAAACAAATTACTATAATTATTAAGTTAGTAACATGGTTAAGTGATTCTGGCTTCCCCATTAGTTTGCTTGTCAGAAAGTCACAAAAAGACTGCAGAACCCCGCAACCACCATAAATATGAACCAATTGCCAAGCATCTGAATTTTGATCATGTGGCCATAGGGATGCTGCAATAGTCACACAAATAAGGTCATGTCACTTTTTTCAGGAACGTTGTAATTCTGAATGGACACAAACAAATGGTTATAAGTCAAGGGTTTCCTGACTACTTTTTTGACCAACGTACCTACTGAAGAGATGTCTGCCAGTGGGTCATTTGCTTCCTCTGGGTTCAGCAAGTCTGTTTTGCTTTTCTTGATAGTGGCCCTCCGAAGAGCTCCAACAATAGGAACATGACAAGAAAAACAGACATTATCCTCAAGGCCCTTTATATGATTCACTAGATCTTTTTTAAATCATTTACCATAATGCTACCTTTGCCAATATATACCCTGGACCACAGTTCCAGAAGACATTTTGAACTTAATTGCTGTAGTTATTAGGGACCAGGCATACATGATGATGATGATGTTGCTGCTGCTATTGTTATATAAATTGTGTTTCAATTTTAGTATATTTATCGCGTGTTACATTGACTACGTTCTCTTTGGTCCTGCATTGATAGTTTCTAAAATACTTGTCATTGAACACTTTCATCCTTTATTCATTAATTCATAAATACATTATCATCATCATGTAATTTACATTCTCCTGAGCTGGGAGGAAATGGAAGTAAAATATCTATTTGTTCTTCATCTTACAGGAGGTAGCTTAAGATCATTTTTTAAATTCCATTTTTATTATTATTTTAAAAAATAAATAACTCAAGGCAGCAAACATACTTAATAGTCCTTCCTTCTCCTATTTTCCCAACAACCATGTGACATGTGCTGGGCTGAGAGAGAGAGTGATTGGCCCAAATAACCCAGGTGACTTTTATGTGTAAGGCAGGACTAGAACTCACAGTCTCTAGCTGTGGTTTTCTAGCTTGGTGCCTTAACCACTAGACCAAACTGGCTTTCGTTTCATTTCAAAATATTTCAGATAAGGTTGTTCTTTGAAACCTTAAAGATCTTTGACAATAGGACAAACAGCTTTGAGAGGGAGTGGCTTAAAGAGAAGGCAAATGTTTTTTCTTTGCACACCTTTTTTCAAATTCTAAACTGCCCTCTTCTTAAACAAAGGTAGTTTTCCCCTCCTTCACATTCCAGATGGGCCTCTGTGTGGACAAACAAGCATCTAGAGGCCTGTGAGATGAAAAGGATTTGTAAATGCTTTGAAATGCAAAAATGGTACGGGCAGGTAAACTGTACCTTCATAAAACTGCATTTTTATAAACAAAATCGCTGTTCTCCTGGCTTGTATGAAAAGTGGGAATTTGTCCCAGGTTTCTTCCTCAAGGCAAAATTTATGCTATTCCCCTGCTTTGAGCTGGCAGGAAAGTATCCTGACAAAAGTCCTGTCCACCTTAGCAACCCCTGGCCTGCCACAAGCACAAGGCAGATAAATTAGACTGTCTTTATTAGTTTTGTATCGATGCACGGCTATTATCCTGGCCTTCCCACCCCCTTTCCACTAAATGATTGTAGGTCAGGAAAAAAATAATCTACCAATCGCTTTCAATGTGGACTAGCACTAGACATTTAGGCAGGGAAAATCAAAGATATAAGTACAGATTAGGAGAGACCTGGCTCAAAAACAGTAACTGTGAGAGGGACCTTGGAGTCCTAGTGGATCATCATTTGAATATGAGCCAGCAATGTGCAGCAGCCGCCAAAAAAGCTAATACAATCCCGGGCTGTATAAACAGGCATAGAATCAAGATCATGTGAAGTACTAGTGCCGCTTTACAAAACCCTGGTGAGACCACACCTGGAATACTGCAATCAATTTTGGTCAAAAAAAGATGTTGAGACTTTGGAAAAAGTTCAGAGAAGAGCAACTAAGATGATCAAAGGCTTGGAGACTAAGACATATGAAAAATGGCTGCAGGTTTTGAGTCTGGGTAGTCTAAAGAAAAGAAGAATTAGGGGTGACATGATAGCAGTATTTCAGTATTTGAGGAGCTGCCACAAAGAAGAGGAGGTCAAATTATTCTCCAAAGCACCAGAGGGCAGGACAAGAAATAATGGTTGGAAACTGGTCAAAGAGAGAAGCAACCTGGAATTAAGGAGAAACTTCCTAATAGTAAGGACAATTAACCAGTGGAACAGCTTGCCTCCAGAAATCATGGTGCTCCATCACTGGAGGTTTTTAAGAAGAGACTGTCAGTTGTCTGAGACTGTCTCCTGTTTCAGCCGGGGGCTGGACTAAAAGACCTCCAAAGTTCCTTCCAGATCTATTCTATTCTATTCAGAATTTTTTTTTTATGAAAGTAGGTTTTTTTCATTTCTCAGAATTCAGCTGGGTTTTGCACAAGCCCTTCTCATGGATGCTTTGAAAGGAACTTGTGAATGAGTAAGCAAAGCTAATATCTGCAGATAATCGGGCCCTTTTCGGACATGTATTTAGCCTTTTTGAAGAATACCACAACTATTTTCACAAAGACCCAAACAATAGCTGTCAGGCAAGGGAAGATTTGTACCATGAGGCAGCAAGCTCATTCTTTCCCACTTTAGCCTATCACCTCACTGGCACTGCTAATGTTCAAAGTTGGCAATAGTGGAAAGATATTGGTTCAGAAGGATGAGACTGTCCCATGACCAAAGCAAAATGCTTCTAAAATATATGTGCAGAGACCAGAGAGGTGAGACATGCCTAGACCAGTCTAGACTGGCCCATAAGTACTTACTTCAATCTTTAAATCTTCCGGTTTGCAAGGTTTCGGCAGCAGCAGGGATTCACGATACTGCGCGATCCCTGCTGCGTTCGCCGCCAAGGTTCCCCCGATCCGTTTGGATCTGGGGGATATAGCTGCCCCGTAGAGGCAGCTGAAGACAGGGGGGATCCGGACAGGGGCTTGGGGGTGTCGCAGACCCCCTCCCCAGCCGGCAGAACCCCCTTTTCCCAAGGCGGAGGAGCGGCGGTCAGCAATGGCCGCCTCGAAGAAACCTGCAGCCGGACAAGCTGGTGCAGGAGGGAGAAAGTTGGAAGAATTATGAAAGTGGCTTTTGACCGGGACAAGGCAAGAGAAAGTGCCCTGGAATCTTGAAGGCTGCTAAGAATACATTGTTTCCAGAGAGAGTTACAAGCAGCGAATATCCTAAAAGGGAAAGTTTTTTTTTTTTTTTTCCGTTTCACTCTCCTTCCTAATGTGACAGCGGATGGAATCATAAGAGAAATCCGAAAACCTGCATTGGAGGTAATTGAATGCTGAAGGGATAAGGATTTCTGAACATTTAAAGGAAAAAAAAATCTTTTTGGCTGTGAGTGGGAAGGGAGAGGGAAAAAAAATTGGAGCAAAATTTGAAAATAAGGAGAAGATTGCCTAGAATTCTAAAGAGTTACTAAACATCAATAAGACTTCTAAAAGATATATTTTAAAGGGAACTTTGTAACTAAACTTTAACCCCAGAAAGAGAAAGTGAAGAAGGAGAAAGTATTTAAAAGAAACAGCTTGTTTGGAGTGTTTGGTGATTTTGGAACTTCTGAGAATTATTTCTGATTAAAAGCACTTGGGGTGGTTGTTTGGAAAAACTTTTTCTCTACATAATGGCATCACTTGTGGATGGACTGAAACTTGTATACCAAAAATATGAAAAAGAAAAGCCAGAAGGGAAAGATGTCCTTGGCACTCTTTTTCAATTTTTAGAAATGGCGGTTTGTACTTATGTAAAGCTGAATGAGCAACAGGATGATTGGGACAAAGAAGAAGCCATCTTTGATGAACAAGTGACTTTGGTCGAGGAAGGAAAAAAGAAAGAGAAAAAGGAGAAGAAGATTTTAAGACCTGGAAAAACAATCCAAAAAGAGAAGAATAAGGTGAAAAGGCGATATTATGTTAGGAAACAACAGAAAGGAGGAAAGCAGAATAAAAGAGGGGTGGAGAGACAAGGGGGTAAAGAGGACAAGGAGAAGAAGAAGCAAGGGAGAAAGGAAGGGATGAGAAGCCTTAATGGTGGGGAGCAAGATGCAAAGAAGCAAAAGTTTTTTAGTGATAATGGATAAATTTTATTGAAAAAGGTATTCTAGAAAGGTACATAAGATTGTATTTCTACATTTGTACTTAGAAATAACCATAGAAAATTGGAAATAATATGCAATTTAAAATGTGATAAAATATTTAGTATAATTTAGTGAAATTTTTGTTAAGAAAAGGGGAGTACTTCAATGAAACAATGATTTAAGATATGTGATGTGGGGGGGGGGGATAATTTTGGAAAGCATAAGTGTTCCCACAAAGGGATGATATTTAACTGAAATGGGTAAAATGTTTAAGATATAAATGATTGTTAATATTAATGATTAGACTATGTTATCTTAGTGAAACTTTTTGTGAAATGAGAGATTTGAAGTAGGAGAAGGGGGAACATCGTAATGAAATAATGATCTATAATATGTGATGTGGGGGGGGAATAACTATGGAAAACAGGTGTATGTGATTTAACTGAAAAGTAATGTGCTAAATGTTTAAGATATAAATGAATATCAATATTAATGAATAGATTTGTATTGGTCTTGATAATACTGTATAATTTTAGAACGTACCAGACAGAATCCCAATGTAAGCTATGTATTTTATATTAAGTATTGTAAATATAGGGGAAAGACATCACACTCCAATTAGTGTACAGGGGAAGTTTTCTTCAAAGAAGAAAGATAAATGGATAGCTGGAAATAGAACAGACAAAGAATAATAAATATTATGATTCGAATTGAGAGGAGATAAATAAAATAAAATTGAGAAAATTTAAAAGAGAGGAGAAGTTATATAGAAAATTGAATATGCTAATTAGATATGGAATGGTATGTAAAATGAATATGAATTTGAATTTGTGTCTGTACCAAGAGTTTTAACCCGGGACTAAGCAACTTTCAGAAAAGAGATTTTTTATGCTTTTATGTTTTGTGTTTCTGTGTATTTATGTTTTATATGTCTTTAAAAATTAATAAAATTTGTTCAAAAAAAAATCTTTAATGATCAAATGACATGCCACCAATAGAACAGTCAATAAATCATATCACTTAGTATCTATGGAAAAATCTATGTTAGGATAAAGCGAAAAATGCCACTTTGACACTAGTACAGTTAAGGATGACTCAAGCCTGGGGAACAGATGAAAGTAATGAAAATACTGCAGCAAAAATAAGTTCCCAAGGTATACTGGTGCCACAGTTAGATGCAAGCAAGGAAAGGACTTATGGACAGTGAGAACCAGTTTCCAGTGAGTAAGTGCTAGCACTGATTTGTTGGCTAATAAAACAAGTATGTCCCTGAACTTCTATGAACACATTTATTACAGTAAGGGCTACAATTAATCTTTGGGATGCAGATTGTTTTTCTATCCTTCTTGGAAGAGATTTGTTTTTTTATAACTACCGTATATGCCGGCGTATAAGACGACCCGGCGTATAAGACGACCCCCCAACATTTCCACTCAAAATATAGTTTGTTATATACTCGCCCCCTCTTCCGCACGCCTTCCACTTTTGCACTTTTTTTTTTTTTTGAGGCACTTTTGTCTACCGTGGAAACGAATCCCGTGAAGCCGAAAGGAGCAGCCAGCCTTCTCCCAGCTCCCAAGGAAACGAGGCTCGCACCGCCCGGGCTCCGCTGAGGTATCCGGCTGGGGCTGTCAGGAGTTGTTACCGCTGGCGCGGCTCCGCGCGGCTCCAGTCCCGTGTTGCCTCGGGAAGGGAAAGGCAAAAAGGAAGAGCCGCGGCGGCGCTTTGCAATGGCAGCAGCGGCTCCTGGTTTTGCCTTTCCCTTCCCGAGGCAACGCGGGACTGGAGCCGCGCGGAGCCGCGCCAGCGGTAACAACTCCTGACAGCCCCAGCTGGATACCTCAGCGGAGCTCGGGCGGTGCGAGCCTCGTTTCCTTGGGAGCTGGGAGAAGGCTGGCTGCTCCTTTCGCTTCACGGGATTCGTTTCCACGAATCAGGGCAAAAAAGTCGCAAAAGTGCCTCAGCCGCGGGCAGCTGCAGTGCTTCCCAATTACTATTTGCCGGCGTATAAGACGACCCGGCGTATAAGACGACCCCCCCAATTGGAGGCATCTTTTTCAGGGCAAAAAAGTCATCTTATACGCCGGCAAATACGGTAGTAATTATTACAGTTAATCACCATGATCATATACCTATTGATTAAAAGGAATATACCTTATTAGAGAAGTGAAGTGTTCAGAACTTCAGTAAGCAAATGTGCTTTAGACCCAGTACCAGCATTTTTACATTACTTATCCACAGTTTCTTAATGGAGCTGTGCTGTTTCCTGAGTTCGCACAGTAGCGGCAAGGTTTCAGGAAAATATGTGTTTCCGTTAAAGAAGAGTTAAGAAGAGGACAGCAGTGTAGCCTCTTATTTTTACATTGTTTTGCTGCTGCTGTAATGCAACTTCATCAAACTTCATCAAATGAGCATTTTTGTGAACTAATGCAGCTACCATGTGAATCAAGAATAGTTCTTTTAAGTGCTATGAACATTTACTAATTTACTGATTTACTGATTTATTGATTTATTTTTTCCCATCTTGTTTCAAAGCAACTGGGTGGCTTACAGCACTATTCCTAATACAATTAAATGGAAATATCAAAGTAAAATCATAGTTACAAGATGGGGAAGGAGGGAGCTGGAAAGGGGGAGGTGGGATTGGCTGTTCATTAATCAATCACCCCCAGTGTGAAACTCCCCTCAGAGCAGAGCCAGATCATAAAGCTCTTACAGAAGGCTGACCTCACCTCAGGGGTTGAGGTATAATGAGAACGCAATTGTTTCAAATCCTCTACTGTACACCGTATTAGGACTGGTAGTCATAAAGTGACACAGTCATAAAGCATGATATCATGTGACTCCACTAACTCACAACAGCAGTTGCAGCAGTTCTGGCTGCTATTGTTAAGCAAACTTTGCATTGTCATTAGGCACAACATCACATGGTCAATATTTGTGTTGTTTGTTCACCAGAAGCTGGTAGTGAAGGTCACAAATGGTGATCACATGACTTCAGAGTACTACAACTATCATAACTGCAAGCTGACTGCCAAATGCCTGAATCATGACCACATCTACAAGAACTGGTCATAATTCCTCTCATTCAGTGCTGTCATAACTTTGTCTAACAAATGGTCATTAAATGAGGAGCACTTCAACCTCCGTTTCTTACACAATTTTTGTTAAATTAGGTTGACATACAAATAAAGTTGTGACTACTATCTCAGAAATCTTTCACAGAACACTTTGTGGAATATGATGGCTTACCATCGAAGGGATGACGAGGCTCTCCTTCTATATCATCTTCAGCCAGGATGACTTCTTCTAAATGAAATGACTGAAATTAATCTAAGAAGGCAAAGGTAATTTGCCAACTATGGAAAGATGCCAAATCCCCCCCCCCCAAAAGGGGAGGTTAGCTATAGATGACATACTTTAGCAAATAGTTTCCTGAAAATAACCATTTGAAAGAGAAGATAGCCTTAGCTAGGTGAGAGACTGATCAAAAGAAACACAATTTATTGATCTCATTTTAGGGATATTTTGGTGTATTCATGGCTATGTTCCAGGAAAATTCTGTTCGAAAATGTGTTTGGTTCAGACAATATAATAGTAGCATTTTTATATCAACCATGAAAATATGGAGATATAGGATGGAGAAAGAAACACACAAATGGTAAAATTCTTTGTCACTTGCTTGTATTTAATTTTATCCCCTTGGGATTAATAATTTAGCTTGGCAAAAAGTATTTATTTCAGTAATATTTATGATTAAATATTAAACCATATAAAGGTAAATCTTTTAAAAATAAAGGAAAGGTCTAGACTTGCATTGTGATAATCAAAGTTGAGTAGCTAACACAGGAAAACTAAAATATATTCTCAGTGAGATATTTTTATACTAAAATATCTGTACTGAATATATCACTGCTTATCGATGTAAGATGAGCACAATGTTTTGCAAATTAAAAAGGAAGCAATTTTTTCAGAACAAAAAATATCCCAAACAACTGTTCAGTTGTTAAACAACTTTAATTAAATTGAATCCCAATAGCAAAATCATAATATGTTAATTAAAGCTTGAACATTATAAAAGTAATGTGCAATATGTACCACTTCCCCATCGAGAACAGCTGCCTACCCTTTCTAAGGTTCCAGGAGACCATTAAGACCTTCCGGTGTTCAGGCAGACCTTTAAGGAAGGGAGGTAGACTGAATATTCTCCTGAATTAGTATTTTTTTTAGTATTTATTTGTCAATCGCTTACAAGATACAGGTATAAGAATAAATATAGTTTTGAATACATGAGATAGATACTTATAAGAAAAATAAAAAACAATAGGACAGGGACGGTAGGCACGATTGGTGCGCTTATGCACGCCCCCTACAGGCCTTTTAGGAAGGGGGTGAGGTCAATAGTAGACAGTCTAAGGTTAAAGTTTTTGGGGTTTGGGGAAGAAACCACAGAGTCAGGTAGAGTATTCCAGACATTGACCACTCTGTTGCTGAAGTTGTATTTCCTGCAATCAAGTTTGGTGCGATTAACCTTGAATTTGTATCTATTGTGTGCTCTGGTATTGTTATGATTGAAGCTGACGTATTCATTTGCAGGTAGGACATTGCAATGTATGATTTTATATACTATATTTAGATCGGACTGGAGGTGGCGTAGTTCTAGGTTTTCTAGGTCTAGAGTTTCAAGTCTGGTGGCATAAGGTATTCTGCAACGAGTAGAGGAGTGGAGAACTCTTCTTGTGAAATATTTCTGGACTTTTTCAATTGTGTTAATATCAGATACATGATATGGGTTCCAGACTGATGAGCTGTATTCAAGTATAGGTCTAGCAAAAGTTTTGTATGCTCTAGTTAGTAGTGTGATATGACCAGAGAAGAAGCTACATAGGATTAGATTAACAACTCTTAATGCCTTTTTGGCTATGTAGTTACAGTGGGCTCTAGCACTTAGATCATTTGAGATGAGTACTCCAAGGTCCTTGACAAGGTTGGATCCTCAACAAGGTCTTGACTATTTAGCTTGTATTTTATTTTCTGATTTTTTTCTGCCAATATGTAAGACAGAGCATTTATTTGTTGAGATTTGAAGTTGCCATTTGATTGACCATTCTGATACATAGTCATGGTCTTTTTGGAGAGTAGTAGTATTGTCTGTGGTGTTGAATAGCTTTACATCATCAGCGAAGAGAATGCAGTTGCTCTTAATATGATCTCAGAGGTTATTAATGTAGAGTATGAAGAGAGTTGGTCCTAGAACACTGCCTTGGGGGACACCACTGTTGACAGGTACAGAATTTGATAGGACACTCCCAATTTTGACCATTTGTTGTCTGTTTGACAGGAATGCTTCTATCCAGTTATGTAGGTGTCCAGAGATACCATAAGATTTTAGTTTTAGTAGTAGTTTGTCGTGTACCACTGAATCAAAGGCTTTACAGAAGTCTATGTAGATTGCGTCTATTGCTTTGCCCTGATCGAGTTGTGTAGTCCATATGTTTTTGCAGTGTAAGAGTTGCAGATTACAGGATAGTTTTTTTTTCTATTAGTAGTGCTACAGGGGTGGAATACTACTTTTTTCTTCTTCTTTATATTGGTCTGTGTTTAACAAAGTCTGGAAGTTGAGTCATGGTAACTGACTTCTCTCTTGTTGGTACAAAACAATTTGTTGTTTATCCAAATAGTTTCTTCATTCTGAACAAGTTGGTTAAGGGGACCCCAAATATTTATGTCCTCCAAGGAAGTTTCAATTCTTATTAATCTCGATAGGCTCCTTGGTCCCAAGTAGTCCTAAAGTAATCTTAATCTTCCTATGAAGGTTCATGCATCTTCACAGATTCACAAGGGAGGCCAGACTTAATGACCCACCTAAAGTAAAGGGTTTAGGAGCTAGAACATTTACATCTCATTGACTCGTTGCCTACTTACCTAACGAGCCTATCCAGATTAGTAAGAAATGAAATCTCCCTGGAGGACAAATGTATATGGGGTCTCCTTAACCAACTTGCTCAGACTGAAGAAGCTATTTGGATAAACAGTGAAACATTTTGAACCAATTAGAAAAGAGGTGAAGTTGCCATGGTTCAACTTCCAGACAACTG